TTTTTTTTTTTTTTTCCAAACGTGTTGTATTATTTCAGATAACTTTGAAAAAGTTAAGTTCTTGAAACTTTTTAATAATTTGAATGAAGCTTCCAAAAGTGATAGTGTTCCTGCGGATGGACTGTATACTTAGACTACTACGTAGTGGACACCTGGGACACAAAATAACCTTCCTTATTAGTTTTCCCAGTGAGTATTACTTTATCCTCTCAGAGCTTTGGAACTAACTTGCCTATTATATGAAAAGCCAAAATTCCTAAAAAGCACTTTGCTTCTTCTATCTAGTATGTTTTAGTCTTTTTCATCATAAAGTACTGCAGTACTGTACTTACTCTTTCAAACAGTAACAGGAATACAAAGGAGTTAAAAGAGAAAAAAATCTCCCGATTTAAAAAAATCAATCCATTACTTCGAATACCATCGAGGTACTTAAACAAGGTGATGATTTTATGTATTTTTTCCTCTTGTTTATTCATAATCTCTAGAAACGGGTATAAAGTGTCCCTGAAGTTTCTGAACTCCAGCGGGGCCTTGTTTTCTGTCTGGCAGAAGTTAGCGATTACATTTAGTAGTGAATAGGTTCTTTTCAAGAATGTAGTACGTTTTATTTAAGAAAAATTAGTATTTTTTGGACAAAAATTGAGGCAAAATTTAAGATAAGCCTTGATCTAGGCATTTATTATAAAAGGCAAATTTTTGCTTTGTTTAAAAAATAAACTCACGTTATTTACCTTTTCTGGGGCTTTCTTCGTAGGAGGAAAGGCTTTGTTCCTGTTTTAACGAAAAATGTTACTTTGATTTTGAAGTGTGATCTCATATTTGATATGGAAGACAGCGCACCCTTAAAAGATTGAGTGGAGAAAAATGTTTTCAGTATATTGCCGTACTGACATGTACTGTGTGTAGAAAGAGGAGTACTTGTGCTCCTGAGTTTTGATATTAGGAGTTTATGGCACACTGCAAAGCTTCACTAAGTACTACATTGTAGAAACTTCACACGCTTAAGTATTTAAGTAGGAGTTGAAGCACTTTTAACGCTGTATGGGGCCATCGAATAAAGCCAACCATAAACGGGCAAAATGGAATGATCATCAGTTGTTTCCGTAAGTCACATTTAATTTTTAAAGTTCCCAAAATGCTCATTAAGACCCAAGGTCTGTATTCAATATTTACCCAGGGTGCTTTTGTTCCTCCCACTGCTAAGTTAAAAACAAAGAGACAGGATTGGGACTGTAACTCAGTGGCAGAACACTTGCAAGAGGCCTTTGGTTCCATCCGGAGCACCACAGAAAACCCTGTCTAAGCCAGTAGTTTGGCTTCTGTTTCTCCTGTGGTTAAGAAGTCTTTCATCCCACGAATATGCTGTAATCTAGATCATCATTGCCTTGTTGATAGACATTTAACTTGTTTCCAGGATTTTGCTGTTGTAATATTTTACATACTTACGTTTTTATATCTGTATACATGTGGCAAATTCTGAACAGTGAAAATGTTGTCAGAGAGTATGTGCATTTGAAATTCTGGTATACACCACGGAGTCCTGTTTTTCAAAAAGATTGCAGATGGGAGTAAACATAAACAAATATTGGTGAGTTGCGTGCATCTAAATGAAGGACGCAGAAGCAGAGAGAAAGCAACACACTTTCTGGGTGAAGAGAGTTGATATGTAGAATTTACCAATTTTCCCCCACTTTTTGTATAAATTCATAGAATTCCAAATAGAATACCAGTGTGGTATTGTAGAAAACTTGACATGTGATAAGGAAGTTTACCTGATAGATGAAACGACTACAGAATTTTAGAGGGAAAAAAATGCCCTTAAAGAAAACTTAACTTCTTCTAAATACAAAGAAATTGAAAGTAGTGTGTCAGTTCAGGAATGGCAAATGGAGCCAGAGTCCAGAAATGCACTTCTGGGCTTTTGGTGATTGTGATCAGTAGCGCCTCTTGTGTGTCCAGTGCTGATTGATGTTCCTCTTTCGCTCATTTAATTCTTACAGTAATCCCCTGGAGTGAGCATTTTATCTAAACCTTGTAGATGAATAAATTCAAGCAGATAAAGTAACTTGGCTGGATTCATTCACTTCTTCAACAGGAGAAACTATGATTGCCATACATTAACACTAGATTATTGGGGGAAGGATGGGTTAATGGTGCTTGAATTTTTGGTTATCCACCGCCTTGAATGTTTTCTTCTTGATAGGCCAAAAATAAATAAATAAACAAACAAATAAATAAATCTAAATGTGTGAAAAAGCAAGTCACAAAACCCTAGGAGAAAATGTAGACTACATGTTTTATTTTTTAGTACACTGTACCTCTTTGGAAAGGACTTCTGTGTGTGCCATACTAAGTATTTATTGAGTACGTTAAAAAGCTTTTACGTTTGTGTTATACATCTGAACTTAAAATAGAATTTTGTTTACTAGAGTTCCTGATAGAAAATTATTCAAAAATTGAAAATAAGAATTTAAGGGTGTTCTCTGTTAGATATGTAAGAAAATGGTATGAATAATTATTAAGAATAGTTTCATTGGTTGAATCATAGAAAGGGGCTGCATGAAGTTGCAATGGCTTCTGGATTTTCAACTGTTTCACCTTGGAGGAAGCAATAAAATTTACTTTGAGATTTTACTATTACGTATGCATATTATTCTGTTATATACTTAAATGTTTATGTCTCGGGGACCTTTTTTATTTCCTGTGCCTGTATTTTAAGGTTATAAGGTAGGTTAGGATGAAAATAATACTATTTTTAACTGTTACTCTTGATTTACTTGATTGTTGGCAATTGATTTATTGTATCAAGAAAGGCACAGTGGGCTTTCCTCAGTAGCTGAATATTTCTGAAAGTCAAGAACTGCAGAAAGGCCAGGTGTGGTGGTGCAGCCTGTAATCCCAGCACTGGGGAGGCTGGGACGGAGGATTGCTACGAGTTCATGGCCAGGCTGAACTAACACAGTTTTTGACCCTGTCTCAAAAACTGAACAATTTGTGGAATCAATCTTTATAGATAGCTATTATTTCTTGAGTGTTTATGGTGTAGTTTTAATTTTGATACTTAACTGACTGATCCGTCTTTGTTTCATACTGCTGTAAGGGTAAAGTAAGAGCTCACTGTGGTTTGTGAGCATTCACTTCATTTTGTCTGTCAACTTGTAATAATCTTCACCTACTAATACTTTTTCTGAGTCTCCTTAGTTAATACAATGTTTTTCTTTTTCTTTTTTGTACCGGGACTCTTCTTTTGGTACAGGGACCTGGGCTTGCCAGGCAGATGCTGCATGGCTGACCTATATTCCTGGCCCTCTGCAATGTTTTTCACTAGAATTACTTGTGTAGTATTTTAGGCAGTGGCTTATAATTTATGTTAGTATGTTGGGCATTTTAAGTGCTTATGGTTAAAGCTTCAATTCACGTCTTTGGCTGATAACTCTGCATTTTGTAGTTCATTGTATTAACTTTTATTTTAGGATAAAACTTCAAAACACAGTCATTTTAAAAAACTTACACAGTACCTTTTCTCAGCATTGATGTTTTCATCTTACGAATTTTCAAACTGAACTTTTATTTTGGATTTAAGGATGATGTGCTATCCAGTGGTTGCTATTAGTGATAGAAATCAGCCTTCTCACAGATAATGAGTTAGAGATCAGTAATGCAGCATAACAGATAGTACTGTTTCTTTTTGGTTTGAAGGGAAACAAATTTACAGTAGTTTCACCTCCCCCTCCTGCCCAGTCTGGAGACAGTGTTCTGTCCGTTCTTTCTTTCTTTCCCTCTTCCTTTCTTCCTTCCTTCCTTATTTATAGGCCAAATGTAAACTCAGAACAGTTCTAAAGAATAATCAGATTATAATGCTGCAAAGCAAGATGTCTTTTAAAATAACAGTTTTGTT